ACTACTATTATAACTACTACCACTCTTCATAGTAATTCCAATCAATTATCACGTCTCCGACGGTGCAGGGTAATCCCAGAACGAGATAATCGTCGGATTATGCAGGACCGTGCACCACTTTCTCCAAGACTTCTTCTATCTCATTTCTTTTTATATTTTTTCATTTCTTACCTTTTCTTTTCTCTTTTATACGTATTTTCTTCTTCTTCTTTTTTTTCTTATTTCTTCGAGTATGATAATAACTACTTTTTCTCATCTGCTTATTATTGTTGAATCTATTTGAGTATCTTTCATTTTATTCATTTCTTTTTTTTTTTAATTTTATTTATTTTTTTTATTTCTATTTTTTCAACTTATTTCTCGCTTTAACGATTATAATATAATAATTATTATTAATTAACTTCTCCTTTAGACACTCGAATAATTTCATTTAAATGACGAAAAAGATGTTGAAAAATTGCATATTATTTGAAAAATCATCTATTCATAAAATTTCATTTTCTATGATTGCAATTACGATGAATGAAGGAATTTATATTTATTATTTAATTAATTTCTTCTTTAGACACTCGAATAATTTCATTTAATGATATTTCTAAAAGAAGATGTTGAAAGATTGTATATACTTTTGAAATCATTTATTCATAAAATATTACTTCATTTTCTATGATTGCAATAATTACTATGAATGAATGAATTTATATTTATTATTTAATTAAGTTCCATTTAAAAATTCGAATATTATGTCATTGAAATGATGAAAAAAGATGTTGAAAAATTGTATATACTTGAAAAATCATCTATTCATAAAAAATATAAGGATCATTTTGAATAGGATGGATGAATCATCGTTGGCTGCTAGTACTCATATCTCACTCGATGATATCTAATGCGAATGCAAATGCATTTCTCGTATCTTCATTCGTGCAATTTATCACGCGTTTTAAGCTCTTTGTCAACTAAAAATTTTATATATATATATATATACATATATTTATATATCTATATATAAAATTATATGTGTATAAAATATATCGATTTCCACTATTTTCGTTACATAACATTTTTACTCGGACGAACGAACAGTATAGATGTTCCGTTGCTATCCAAACGAAATATACACATTTCGATATGGAACGAAAAAGATACGTTATTCCGACACGTTGAATATGTAAAAGGTATTTCTCACCTGGATCTCCTCTCCTCTACCTCTTCTTGTTTCTTTAAAAACCTCTTAAAAGATTCTATACAACACCCTCTTTTTTTTTTTATTTGATAGTAAAAATGAACACGTTTATTTTTCTCCCCATATTTTTCTTCTTCAAATATACTAAAATATAAAATATAAAATATAATAAAATAAAAGTATATAAATAAAAATAAAATTTATCTACAATAGTAAAGAAGAAAACTTAATCAAAAATTTCATTAAGTAAAAATTAAACACAGTTGCTTCTTCGAAATAATTAATTACTATATTAAATTAGTAATATATTATATTTTAATTTAATTACACAAATTATTTATTATAATTATTATTTATATAATTATTATTATATTTTAATAATATAATTTATAAATTTATATAATTATTTATATATATATAATAATTAATTACTAAATATATATATATAGTAATTAATTATTATAAAATTAATATTTAAATATTTAATATAATTGAATATAATGTAAAATAATATAAAATAATATAAAATAATAATAAAATTATACATAAAAAAAATATAAATTTAATAATAATATAATATAAAATATTTATATAAACAATTTTTGTGATAAATGATATATATATATATATATATAAATTTAAATGTAATTTTAAACTAATGTAAATTATACTCTTTTCTTTTATTTTATTTTTTTTTTGTTTTCCATCTTAGTTTCCCATCTATTTTCTTTTCTATCTTGGTTTTGATCGTATGCGAATCGTAAAGAGCTTTCATCGAGATCCAACGGTGAGGTTTCTGTTCAAGAATAAGCCAAGGAGCTTTTCTACGGCACGATTTTACTCGGCTCTATCGTTCTCTCGATAGAATAGAAGAAAAGCACGAAATGACTTTTTCTATTCTTTTGCCTCTCCTTTCCCTTCTCCTCCTTTACTCTCACCCGCCGAATCTATCTCGAATTTAGTGGCTATTAACGTCCTATGAAACGTCGCTCCGCGTTCGCAAATCTCTTTTCTTTCTCTCTCTCTCTCTCTCTCTCTCTCTCTATTTCTCTCTATCCATCACTATCACTTTTTCTTTTTAACTTCTCTCTTTCTGTCTCTTTTTTTTCTTCTTCTTCTTCTTCTTCATCATCATTTAAACTATAACGACAACCTTTGCAACTTATCGAAAAGGTAAAGTAACTTTTCGATTTATTTCAATTTTCTTGAACATGTTGAACGAAATTAAAATAAAATTACTCATTCGAAGTTAATGAGTTGTTTGGAAAGTAAATTTTTGTTTTGTTAGATGATAATGAAAATAAATGAGATAAATAAATGAGATTTTTGTTGTTTTGTTTTTTTTTCCAATCTAATCGTAAGACGTTTTAAATGATCGTCAATTATTGTTAAATTTGATTCATTTCATTGTTCAATTGTTTCTCATTTGATTATACGAACATTAGCATTCAACGAGTACCTTCATTTTATTCTCATCTTCTTCAATTGAACGACCTAAACGTGATAACATTACTATTTCAATCGAAATTTTGATAATTCATTTTCTTCTCTCTTTCATTTAACATACTCTTTTTTTTTTCATAGACGGAACATAATTTTATTCAAACAATTGAACAATAATATTCAATCAATTCGAATTATATATAAAAGTAAATCAACCTATACCCATACGTTAAGTAATCAACTACACAAGTATTAATTTTTGAAATAAATACCAACAAATAATAAACATAACAAAAAAGAAAAAATTACAAAGTTGATTAACACAATTTTTCCACCATAAAATTGTTTCGTAAAAATAAATAGGTTTTACGAATGAAGCGCGAAGAAAAAACTTCTATTATTTTTCCCCTACATTACTTCGAAAGTAAAAAAAAAAACAAAAAAAAAGGGTTTCTAAAAGATCGATCGATTAATCGAGAGATAGAGACAGAGAGAGAGAGAAAGGAAAATAAAAAAAAAAAAGAGGAAAATAAAGTACAAAATGCTTTCACGTTAACTTTTACGACAAGCTACTACTACTCTTTCGTTCTACCATCTTACCTCATCTTTTTTTTTTAAATTTTATTTTCCTACTTTTGTCTTTTAAATGAAATTGAACGAGAGAAACTCCGTTTCACAAGATTCTTTGAAAATCGATCGATCGAAAAGGAATCGTAGCGAGTTCGTTGATTCATAGTTAAGCTAATAGTACCAGTATAAACCCGCCCCCCCTTTCTATCAACCCCCTACATTTACGTTGAAACTCGTTTCGTTGAATTCTCAAAAGCTGAATTCGCGATAATCGTGAGTTTAGAATTCATTTAAACGTTCTTTCTTCTTCTTTGTTAGTTTCCTATCGCCAATAGTAGTATCATTTGCTTATCTATTTATCTATCTATTTATCTATATATCTACCCCTTTCTCTCATTTGCTTAGATCTTCTTTATCTTCTAACAATCCATAGAAATCTAAATCTTCAAAAAGAAAATAGAAGAAAAAACATAATTAAATTCTGGAAGTCATCCCAAGTATAGTAATCGATTATTTTAATCGACGAAATATCGCTTCTCTCATCGAAGTCAGTCGATCACTATCCCCCACTCACCCCCTTATCTTCTTCTTCTATTATCTCTTTATCTCTCTCACTCATTCTAATTAAAAATTTGTTCTTTTCGTTTACTTTGTTTTCTTTTACAAATAAACAAGATTTTCATTTTTACAGATCAAAAATATTTATAGTATAGTTTAGTTCTACATATATAGTAACACACATCCAACGTAGAATAATCTAATTTAATTTAGATAATTGAAAATGTTTAGTATATCACGATCAGAGAGAGTTTTCAAAGAGTTCAAGGAAGAAATGAAAATTTAATGTTTAATATAATATAAGCATTAGAAAATTAGAGAGAAATAAAATCAAACAAAATGTGTTCTCATCCTTTTAATCAGTTAACTGAGTTTGACGAGTATACCTGTCATAAAGAAGTGGCAGAATTTTGTGTCATGACTACTATACTCGTCATACGTAAAAAGTAATGACCATTGGCTATTTAAATTGTAATTTTTATAAAAAAAAAAACGAAACATAATCTCAAATTATAAGATTAGTAAGAAGAAATTGAAGATTTGTAAATCATTAGAGTCCATTTTATCTTCATATATTATCAATTATAACCTCAAAACTCTTCATTAGTCGATTTTAGCGACACAGCGGTATTTACTTTCAAAATGAAGACGTCACAAATTTAACTGGTTAAATCTCCATTTTATGGGTTGAATATATGAAATTTTGAATATCTTCTTTCAAACATATCCAATATTACCAAAAAAAGGTCGTATTCATTTTATTATATCTAGTTACTTTTGAAGTTAACAAGCACAGGAGTTGTTTTGTGTTTTACCAAAGGGGTCATCCATCCATATTAATAATCGTGCCCACGTTTGTTTGAACTACTTTAATGATCTAACGAGAACGTAGATAAGTATATTGACTAATTGCAAAATCAAACAAAATATTCTCTCTCTATTTCTCTTGCTTTGAAACATTAAATTTTTCTATTCTATCTTACCTCATTGTCAATCCATTCTTCGTCAGTCTGATCTATTTGCACCTGTTTGCACTCTCGTCTATCTCTTTCTCTCTTTCTCCATTTCACACGTGTTTCACACCATAAATAAACATATCTCTTTCTCTCTCTCTCTCTCTCTTTCTCTTTCTCTCTCGCTCTTTCTCTCTATCTCTATCTCTCTCTATCTCACACATATACACATCCACATACTCTCGTTCTTAACTTATACCAATATAACAACGTGTTAAAAACACGCCCAGTTTCCCTGGTGGTGCAAATCGTCATCGTCATCGATGGCGACAACGCCTCCACCGCCAACGGCTACGATGCCCGCTTCCGGTTCTGGTTCCGGTACTCAGGGCGTCGTACTCTGTCCACGTACGCTGTCTCAGGTTCGAAGATCACGACTAAGAAGAGCCCTCACCGAGGCTACCGCAGAGACCGTCAGCTACGTCAAGACGGTGGGGAAGATTTTACTTTTGATAAGCCAAATTTACACCTACATATTATACGCTTTAATACATAAACACACACATACACACATACGTACAATATATACTTATGTATATATTATTTTTGGCGTTAAATATTACATGCGTTTTGTGAATAATGTGGATGCACGATTTGCTTCAACGAAAATTAGGTCAGGTGTATTAAACGTTCGAAATCGAGATGTTTTGAAAAAGCAGGGTGTTTTTATTTAATACGTTTTAATATACGAGATATTTTTGAAAGTAATTCTCGAAGTATATTATGTTACGAATTACTTTTTTTTTTTTTTTTCATTGAGAGAACGTTGTTTTTATTATATCCCGTGTAAATCCCTGTTTTACGAGTAACACCTACCATAAAATGAAAATTGGTAGGATATTAATAGTCTAGGATCAATATATCATTGAATTATATGGATTATATCTTTAATCGCTTGGAAACAATAAATTGACATATATATAACTAATTATTATTAGAACATAATTTATCAGTCGTTGTTCAAATTGAACAATTTTGTGTTTTCGAAAGATAATGAAATTAAAATGAATAAATAATATTCATTAATAACGATAAAGTATCTCGTATATATAAATATGTGTGTTTCGATATTTTTTTTTCTAATCACCCTGTTTTTCAATATCAACGGTTTTTAGCGTCGTAATATACCCCGTAGCACTTAATCGTGCATACCGAGACACGTTCTCTCGTCTACGTAGCTATCGCAACTAGCTTATAGAACACGCCTTTCACCAATACCACTGCTGCATCCACACCATCACCACCACCACCACCATTAATACTACCACACCATGCCATGATCTTATTATCGTTAGGTCCTACCAACCCTGACCTGCATTCTCCAATGATATCCGATGTACATATGTATATATTGTATATACATATATATATATTTATTTGCGGGTGTGTGTATTTTTATACATAGATATAATAATACACACAAATACGCGTATACGATACGTCGATAAATTTATCCAAGATGAATCTGTCTCTGTGTGATGGCATAGATTTTTTTCCAATCATTTTAGTTAACTAATTTTATTCTAAATATATGTATTTTATATTTCTTCCTGTTTTACGAGTAATTAGTGTCGTTAGAAACTATTAGAAACATTATTGACGATCGATATGGTTCGATGAACGCGACTAAGTATATATGAAAGTTTCTATACTCAAGTTAGTGAATATTGACTAATATCAGAACAGAAACTATGCGTTCCCTGGAGCAAAACTACTTTATCGGACAAAGATCAAACGGTTTGTCATGGCAAATATAGTAATACGTTATTCGTACAAATCTTGAAACGTTTACAATAACTGATTTTCGAATTGTTTTAACTTGTCAGTCTAAAAATGATTTAGGTATTACGACAAAATTAAAAATTGTTCTACGGTAAATTCTGTAAATTAACAGAGTGATCAAAAATAATCTCTTTTTATGATACAATTTTTTTTTACGTTTATTTACAGATTATCTCAGAAGGTAAGCTAAACAAATTTTTAACTAGACTTCAAATTTATGTCTAATACAATTCGTGTATTTGAAATAATTTGCAAATAAATCATCCAACATACGCGGAAATGATATAAAATTAATTAACACACCGTTTATTATTTCGAAAGAAAATTAACGTACGTGAACGAATTGCAATTAAAATTAAAAAAAAATAAATAAATAAAAAAAATGTAGTTTTAGGTTTTTTATTTTTAACTTCGTTCTAGCTAAGAAGACGATGCTTCATGCTACAGGTAAACGTATATATACGATAGCAAATTTAATCCCCCACCCACCCTCTTGCAAGTAGTATATCAGGGCACGTGTTTGATCTCCCTTAGAAAGAGAGTACTCTCAATCACAGACCCCCTTACCACCCCACACATACCCTTTTCTAACCTCGTACTTTTCGATAGACACTTGGAAAAAAAGCAAAAAAAAAAAGAAACTGAACGCACCTGTAGTTGAGAGAATCCACGTGCACGAAGTTAACGTCACACAGAGCACGATTTTCCAATATCACACGTACTATCAACACGTGAGAGAGTAGCCATCACACATTTAGATACACCACGTATACGTGTGTATACGTATGAGAAAAATACGTCCATGTGAGTATGGACGTGAGAAATCTCCACTTTAATACTACTCGTTTTTATATCGGAAAATCGATATTAAATATCGAACGTCACCATTGGACCGGACCGGTCTGTCCTTCTGTCTTTTTTTTTTCTTTTTTTTTCTTTTTTTTTTCCATCAGTAACTTTTCACGATGAAAAACGTAAATGAAAGCTAACGAAACTCGATGTTTGTAAACTTTGAATTATGTCAAATCAAATAGAAATTCGTAAAAAGTTATTGCGAATCGTGTGATATAAAATATATTTGTCTTCTTAACATCTTAGGTTAGGCATTGCTGAATGTTGCAGTGAAGTTCAACGATAATTACGTGTAAACGATGAAACTATGATATTTCATGATTAAATTATAATTTTTCTTTAAAATTTATTCCACATACTTTAACTTTAACAATGTACTGTAATAATTAATAATAAAAATAAAGAATAATCTATTTTAAAAGAGGTTATCCGCGAAAGCCACTATAGTGGCGCGTTAAATATAGATGGCGTACATGAAAACCACTAAGGTGGTGCTTCGTACTGGAAAATGGCATCCACGAAAGCCACTATAGTGACACGTAGTGCTTGAAAGGTTAAAAAAGCGAACAAAAATATGTAAAACTAACGCTAGAAAGAGAATAAAAGCGTAAAATAAGTTTTTTTTATTAGTTGGTAGTAAAGTGAGGTTTCTAACAAGAAAAATCTCGCGTGTATACTTGTGAAAATTCGAATGATGGAAGAGACGAACGACGACTATAGTGTCGTGGATGCCAGTTTAGAAGAGAGAGGATGTTTTCAACAAGACAACGAGGGAACTAGGACGAGATTAGATAGCTAGTCTAAGATTAATTGTATGATATTATTGTCTTTGAACAATGGCTTTGAGAATTTCAAGTATTTTGAGAGGAAATGATATAAGAGTAAGAGAGAGAGAGAGAGAGAAATAGAGAGATACACTTTCGGTCGAATGTCAGAACTATTGTGTTTAGAAGTGTCCGAGAGGTATGATGATAACTATTCTCTAACTCACTTTACGAAAGAACCACACAAAAAAAAACAGAAACAAATATAAAAAGTATAATAACAACAAGAAGAAACTTCATTAGTCATATTTTTAATTATCCTTTAGAATTGTATCATGAAGTATTACGAAGGAAATAAAAAGATCAGGGTCACAATAGAAATGAAATAATAAATAAACAAAAGAGAAAAGTAAAAGAAACAAAACAATAAGATTAACCTTGGTGAATCAAGGTATAGATAAGGGTTAAGATTAGAAATAAGAAAATGTTACCTAGCAAGAACGAGATTGATGTGTATACATAGCAAACGTCTAACCAATGAGGAAACAGGACTAAAGATGAACTCTGAGAATTGGGGATGTGCATTGTTGCATTGACTCGTTGACGAAAGAAAAGTAAAAAGGTGGAAGGTTGAAGAAACATATGTGTATGTGTGTATGTGTATGTATGTATGTATGTGTGTATAGAACATAAATGGTGACCTCACTAATTCCACGTTTCTTTATTTGGCAGCATCGTGGGTGGTGACACAGAAAAATCTAACCAAGACTACAACTACTACTACTACTACTACTACTACTACTATTACAAACTACTACTATTGCTATTGCTATTGTTGTTTTTGCTCCTATTGCATTCGTTCTTTTCCTTTCCTTTCCTTTCCTTTCCTTTCCTTTTCTTTTCTTTTCTTTTTTTTTTTTTCTATTATTTTTTGTCTTTCCATCGTTCCTTTCTATTACATCTTTTGGCTTCGAACCATCATCTTCTTCATTTTTTTCATCGTAAACCCTGTACGCTTTTACCCTACGAGTTTATCATCTCGAGAACGATGTCAAGAAATTTGTGTGTGTATGTATGTGTGTGTGGTGAAGTTTTATCGGGCTATAGTATGCGAATATTCAAAAACGTATTGAGAATAAAGAGAACAACGACTAGTGACTTACAACGAGGACAATGGGAACTTTTCGAATTAAAATAGCTTTTTTTTTAATTCTTTTTTATTAATTTTCAATGTTTTAATAAAATAAATATAAAAAAAAAAAGGAGGAATAATTATTTTCACGTATGAAACTTGTCAATTATTTAGACATGACAAAATTACGATTTCTTTGTACGATCGATCAAACGTGGTCAAACGAAATATTCACGAATTGTCAGAACGTATTGTAAAAAAGAAACCAACTGATATTATTTACCATAGGAAAAACGAAAGGACGAATAAAAATTGTCAATCAAATATATATTTCAAATCTAGAAAAGAAACGACAGTTTTGTGTGTTTTTTTTTCCTGATAAACGGTAAAAACACAACATATTTTGATCGAACATAATGGAAAATGACAATCACACGTGTGATACTCTTCGTTTTTACGATTGATCGATTTTTATAAATAATAAAAAAAAAAAAAAAAAAAAAACAGAAAAAACGTTCGATAATTTGTTTTTCATCCTTTTTTTTTAGAAAAATAGGAAAGGAAAAAAAGGAATGGGATAAAATATATCATTGTCCGTTACTTCCGTCCTTCTAGGAAAGTCTTTTAACATTCGTCTCGGTCAAGCTGCTTATTCTACTGGTGGTAAAGAAAACGAGAATGCTTTTCTATACCGCGGAAAAGTAAACGTTTCCGATAACATAAGTACGGACACGTGAAGTAAATCGGTCTATCCATCTAGCTTTTCAAGATGTCCGAGAATATACGTTTTGAAAATCGTTGTTCCGTGGTAATCGTGAACAGGATAAAAGATGGATCCAAATTTCTAAAAAAGTATCAACGAGACGTGCATATCATTTTTATTATATCTGCTGCATATTTA